TAAATACGACTCGCTATCGACCAAACCAAGTAAAGAAATCATCAACCGATATATTACCAACTCAGCAAAAGATTTAATTTCATATAAAATATTGTCGTGAATAGAATGCATTCTTGTCTTTAAATTATTTACATCTTTAATAACTCTCCAAAGAATCTTGTATTGTTCTTCAGAATACATTATTGGTTTATCTAATAATATACTTAAATGTTGGTACGAATTCGCCACTCTTTGATAATAGAGGAATACACACTCATAAGCGAATTCATACATTAAAACATATATAATGCTGGAAAAATAATTAAAATATGCAAATAAGCGAATATAATTTAAAAAAATTATATTTAAAATATCGCGTAAACGAGATATCCAAAATGAAGTAGTGTCTATGTAGGAAGTCAGCATAAAACGATGTTTAAACTCATCGTACGTCTGTAGTATATCACTAATCAATAGTTTGTTTTTATCCTTTTGCATTATTAAATTGAATATTAAACTAATTGAACGTATTATGCTTATCATATATAAAAACATATAAAATTTAATCTTCAATACTCGTCCTCTTTTTGTAAAAAATATTTCATACGCCGTTTCAATAAAAAACAAATATAGACAAAACCGAAGAATACATTTCATAGCGCATTGGTAATATTTTTGACCATATAAGGCATAACATTCTTCAAGACTATTGGTGGCTTTTACATAAACCAAATTACTGAATCCCACGCATTGTACACTTTTACATAGTAGTAAACTTTGCAACTTAAAGAATAGACCAGTTTTCAAACGATAATCCACAAAGCTGAACATTCTAAAACGATTACAGTACGAATGAATCCTAAAATGCTCTTCCAAAACTATTCATTATTTACGAATAAAGGTCTGCGTTTTATATAACTATGTATTACGTTAATGATAATGATAACCATAATGTCACCATTTACCATTAATTTAAATAGTGAAATTGCTTAAATGTAGCAATAAAAATAATATAGAAAATGTTTATTAACTTTAATGGATTCTTATCATGACTATATTAACAAAATTTCTAATATTTTCTCAATACACGTATCCATGAACAAAGTACACACACAAAACTCTACAGTAGAAGTTATACTCAATTTTATGTCATATTAAAAAAAAATAACTATAATTAATTAATTCAATTATTTCATAGGTGGTTTATGATTTCATTCTAATATAATACAGCAAGTAAATTTGTTAATTAATTTTACATTATTTTTATAACGTTATTTCTAATTTACCATCGCCGCACCACCTTTCGTACTTCCATGAAATAATGTACTTTGTCCTTGCTAGTATTTTGTGTATTCTTTACACCGGTGTCTGGTTTTGGCCTTCTTTATCAATTCTCTCCATTGAACGTGACTGCTAACCGATATCCTACAAATGGGCGCCACTAGGACACGAGTGTCTAGATCTACGCTATATTTTGAACTCATAGATGTTCTGGCTATTGTCGCTTGGCATAAAATTGACCACAAAGCGCTTTGTAAGCGTACTTCTCTATACTAATAGAAAGTATATGATTCACCAACTGCAGCCTAATAAGCTTTATTTTATTCCGTTTGCTTGTATAAAAATTTAGATTAATTTGGTGTCGTTTAATGTCTGGAGGTGTTATTAGTCTGTATTTCATTTTTGATAATGAATATGGCAGTTATCGTCAATAGACTATCTACATATATGTTATATGATTACAGATCTTTCATGACATGAATAATATTAATGAATTATTTATTTTATATTTATTTTATTTTTAATAATATTTAGTGTTAAAACTATATTTTAATATTAAAAAAAAAACAATAATCCAGTCAAGGCGTAGAGAGAGGTTATGAAGAAACCTCGCAGTTAATAGAGAGCAAAAGTGCTCAAGTGCACTGACTCAACTAGCCTTAACATTATATTTTTAAAATATATATATTCATTATTACATTTTGTAAATTATGTATATTTAATTTGAAGTTCTTATTCTTAATAAATAAATATATTAAATTTAATTTAATTATATATTTTCTACAAAAATTAATATACATATATATATATTTACATATATATAAATTTGGCTAAACATTACCCCACTCTAAACTGTTAAGCGCAAGGATGCTTTTGTGTCATTCAATGCCTGTTTTTAATACTTAAAAAAGAAAAATTTTCCAAATTCTAAAAACAAAAAGAATCCTTTCAGCCTTAACTAAATATATGACAATGCATGAAATAATAGTTGTGCATCAAATGCAAGGATACAAATTTACCCAATATTATAAAAAGAGACCTTGACTTTTGCTTTAAGGATTAAATTAGCTCTTCAGGTTAGAAGATTTATAAGAGCAATTGTTTTAAGTGCAAAGAAAAAAAAAGCTAAGAAAAAAATAATCTATAAAATACATTTCTACCTTATGATGTTTAGATGCAAGGAAGCGAATAATAATCCAGTGAGAATTTACACATATATACATTTACGGAACTTTTTAGTTTGTATTTTAGGCATTTACATTGGAAATATATTGCAATTGTATTTGTCCGAGGTTATTTCTTTAAAATTTTCATACATACAGATATTTACAAGGATAAGAAAAGTATGCAATGATGATGTTCACATGCAAATATTTGTCTAAATAATCTAAGAGTAATTAGTTTAAAGCTCAGGTAAAAATATACCTATTGTATAGATGAATAATTTCGACTGTCATTTTTTTCAAACAGCAGAGGTTATATTTTGCAGAAAATAAATTAAATATTATTATCATTAATGCAAAAAAAACATGCCTTAAAATAAAAATTTATTATTAAATATTATTATAAAATATTTTGAATTTGGTGATAAATTTACACAAAATAAATCTTTATACTTGAACCTCATTTCTTTGATTAAATCGTCATCAATAGCTTTATACCTTTCAGAATAGAGTTCGTTTTAGTCATTAATTTGGTGGATGAAAAATATTTCTGTTGCCATTTTTTCAAATTTTGAAATAATAAGTAGATACTATATTTCACTAAAATCTTCAAAATAATCATTTACGACAGAGCTAAATCTGCGTACTTTTTCTTTGTGCTCAAAACTCCAGCCTTTAGAGCTTTGTCACTGTCACTGCCTGATAACCATATCATGGTTACAAAGTCATGCCCTCAGTATATTGCTCAATGACAATAACTGGACAACAGTGGAAATTAGCACCGTAGATATACTGATCCCCATCATGCTCTAAAAAATGATTATCCTACAATAGCTAATTATATAGGTGAATATAATTAAATAAATGACTTGCAAATAACTAACATAACTAAAAAATAAATAACTAAATAAATAACTATAAATAAGTCAATAAATAACTATATAAATATATATTATTATGTTGAGGCTAGTTGAGTCAGTGCACTTGAGCACTTTTGCTCTCTATTAACTGCGAGGTTTCTTCATAACCCCTCTCTACGCCTTGACTGGATTATTGCTTATCACTTCTATCGTATCCATCGTTTGCGTCAGTTTATGTCAGGGGAAAGATGCTAGGTGCAGCTTAAGAAAACATCAACAGATATTTGAAAACAGTGTTATGTCCTCAATTCTCTAACAGTTTCCATTTAAACGTTTCGCCTAAGCACTATTGTAGGTTTATCAGAGTTGAAGTTAGTATTGCAGTTTAAAATGCAATACGTAAACTAAAGCAACTAGCGAAGTTAGTCCCTATAAGTTGTGTTAGTGAAACAAAATTTACTTTAAGAATTTGGATTCGGTAGTTGTGACTTTCAGTTTATTCAATATTATACCTATATAGTAAAATCTAGATATAGTACGACACTCTATGAAGTATGTAATCTATTAATTATACTCCCTTGCCATCCCAGAAAACAGACCACATTTTTCTTCATATTCTTCGGAAGTTTTTTCATCTTTTTTATTGCACTGCTTTGAATGTAGTGGTGCATCATTATTTCGCGTTTCGTAAATAGTTACGAATTTAACTATTGGAATAGTCTTTTCCAATAGACCCATAGAAATGTAAAGTGATTATGTTGTTGGTCCACAGTCAATAAATGCATGTTTCTACACATATTTGCATACAATATTGTTCAAATGTAGTAAAGCAAAAAATCTATAGCAAGACCAAGTTTTCTGATTCTTTTTGTATTATCACTCAATAACCTTTTTAACTTTCTAATAACTTCAATAACAAAACGAGCATAGATTAGAATTAATTCAAATTAAAAAAATTATTTTATTTAAATCTACTATAAAACAATATAACAAATAGAAATAGAAAATTAAATTTCAAATTATAATCTGTTGATGATATAGTATCAAAAAATAATATGAACTTTATGATAATATTTGAAAAAAGTTAAAGTCTTAACTGACAACAATACGAAGATATATAAATAGTAAGTAACTTATGTTTGCCACTGATTTGGATTAACATAACTATGAGATACTGCACCACGTAATGAGTCAAGACCCTTATTTAATGGTACGGGCTTAGGTTTTTTAGCAGCTTTCGTTATCCATGCTTCCCATGCTTCAGTTGCTTTTTGTTTTCTCTCTTCTATTTCAATACGTTGTTTATTTATTTCTATTTGTTTTAGTAAACGCTTTTGTTTTTCTTCTCTTTCCTTATTACATTCCCATTCTAAAAATTTGATTTTTGATTGCATTGCTTTTAAAATAGTGTTTTCTTTCTTAATTATATCCGTAAGTAACTTAAGTGACTCTTGAATTTTCTTTAAGGAATGAGCATGTTTTTTTTTATTGAACCATTCCTGAACTTTGGTCGCTGAAACACTATTTTGCAATTCCTTATGTTTACGTTTTTCCTCCTCTAATTGTTTTTGTTTAATAGTACGGTCCGTTAAAAGTTTGCTGTAAAAAATATTAACCGATGAAAAATTAACAGAAATATAATCAAATTTTATATCTATTTTTAAAGTAAATTTAGTCTCATATTGTTTTAATGCATTTACTTCTTTTGTTCTAGCCACTGTGTATAAGCCAATTCAGGATTTCTAGCCTCTCGATATATTTTATTCCTGTCTCTGTCATATCTTGAAGCTGTACTTGAAAGTTGACGATTTGTTGGTATCTTTAAGGGAGGAATGATGTCTTTTTTCTCCATATTGAGAAGAGAATTAACCTCTTTTTTATTAGTTGAAGTCGGTTCTAAAATGTTCTTAATATATGCAGCTGAGTTTACAAATCTTGAAATAGGATTTATTGTTATCTCCAAGGAAGACACAATATCATTATCTTCCATATTGACAAAAGAGCATGTCTCTTCTTTATTACCTGAAGTTGGTTCTAAACGCTTTTCAATAGACCCTGCTGAATTTAGAAACGTTGGAAGACGACTTTTTGGTGTTATTAAGCTGGAAATATTTTTTTTCATATCAACAAAAGTGCAAGTCTCTTCTTTATTGTTTGGAATTAGTTCTAAAGTTTTCTCAATATATTCAGCTGAGTTGGTAAGCCCTGGAACATAATTCGTAGGTTTCTCCAAGCACGACACGATGTCATTATTCTTCGTATCGACCAGAGGACAAATATCTTCTTTATTGCTTGAGGTCATTTCTGAAAATTTCTCAATATACGCAGCTGAGTTTACAAACCTTGGAGGAAGAGAAGTTTAAATAAATACGTTCTTTTTAAAGAATTTTACAGTTCCCACCTCACGGTTGTGTTTTTATTTTGAGAACCAGAGTTTAGTTTTGTTGAATTTGCTGAACGTGTAGAGCTTAAAGAAACGCTCCTATCAATTTCTGTGCCGTTTTTATCAATTTCTGTTCTGTAAAATACCATTATGTAGTTGATCGATATGACAAAGAAAAATTTTTTGTATTATATGAAAGAAGGAAATGACAATAAATTGAATTGTATTTTGTTAATATTGTTAATATTTTTATTTTTTTTTAAATTAAAACTTTATTTATATATAAGCAAATCTGTAAAATGAGTGCTTTGCTATAAACATAAAATATTTCATCAAGTTTTTTTAGTCCTGTTTTGAAATTTTTGGTTATTAGTGACTATCAAAAAAGTTTGCCTAAGCATAATTCATAATAACTCAATAGTAGCTTACAAGGTCAAAGTACATCACAAAAAGTTCCTGAAACAGAATTTTCCTCCGCCTTCGTTTGAAAACTGATTGTATGTCATGGTAAAATATGTCAAGCGAAAAAACTGAAAACCTTGTCATCAAATTGTTTGCAAAGAAACTTTTTCTTCCTCTTTAGACTTTCGTATGAATTTAGTTAATTAATTAAATTGTCAACGCCAACAATTGTTGTCACTCTGAGGACATTTTTGTAACTTTTTATATACACAAATATGCATATCTATTTAATCATATTATATTATATTTCCTCGTTAATGAAGATATACGTCCAATTTTTATGAAATGTAGATATATGTATATTTGTATTATTAAAAAGTTTCAATAAAATTAAAAAAAAGGGACGACTTTTAAAAACCCTGTAAGTGTGTAATGGATGACTAAAAAATTAAATATTTGTTATATATAATTTAAAGGATCATTAAGCCTTGCTAGCTTATTTATAAGAATGTTTTCTTCAAAAATATTTAATAACACATTTTTATGCACTCTTCCATTCACTTGAACTCCACTTCTCAAAATTAGTGAGAACACTAATTCAATGGGATAAATTTCACTTTTTGAAAAATTGGCGGTTCTCGAGAATATAGTAATAAAGAAATACTTTACTCTCGCTGCTATGGCCTAAGTTTTTCTGGTTTACTAATTTTAGGCATTCATCTCATATAATTCTGTAAAAGATATTTCCCGACCGAAATGAACATATTTCTCCAGCTCTAATAATACACATATATATACAGGGTTAGGCGATACATATTCGCCTAACCCTGTTCACCTACATATTACATATTTATTTTTTATTGGTTCAAATTACAAAAATCTCATTCACTCTAGCTCGTTAAAAGCGGTTAAAAAATGAGTTGTATGTTTCACGAATGTGATCTTCCAGTATTTTTGGCCCATTCATAATAATGGGTTAATGGGTTTCAGCCTATCCAAACTGGCATATTTTTTAGTCCTTACCTTGATATCCTAAATGGTCCAGATGGAATCGTCAATCGAATTTGCATCTGGCGAATTCGAAAGCCTATTGTATGCAATGTAGATTCAGAATATGAGACCATATATATATAGTTTTTTTTATTATTTAATTATTTATTATTAATTCAAAGAAATTCGTATAGCACTTATAAAAATGTTTGAAATCTTACTTAAAATCTAAATTGACAATAACATATTTGTTGTGTGTCAAATATATATATTTTGTAATAGTTAACCCGGTTTTAGTAAATAAGCCAAGTTTTTATTTATTAGAAAAACGAAATATAAAAGTCTTAAATATTTTCATCCTTTAAACCTCGTTTATATTCTCAAACAGTTCATTTTCAAGTTCAGATTATATACAAAAAATTTAGCTACAACCTGTTACCCATCCTTGATAGGATTTTAATAAAACCTGTGTAAATAAACTGTCATACGCACAGAAAATGGAAAAACTTCGGAAATTTAATGACTTTGTAATTTTGTTTGAAAAAATTTTACTAAAAAGTGTAGTAAAAAAATAACATCCGCCTTTTAATATATTTATAGGATGGTAGTAAAATTTTGTACCTCGTATATGAATGTATGTACATTCTCTGTGAAAATACCTATAAACATTCTGCATATACATATGTCCTCTATAAACACAAACAATGCAATACCCAAGGTAAAAGGAGTCAATGAAAGACCGCAGGATAGAATGAAAAATAAAATTTAAACAATAGTAAACCACATCAAAAAGAACATAGCAAATACGGAAAATTGAAATTTGGAAAAGGAAACGAAGTTGGTTTGCTTTTCCGAAATTAATTTTTGTACTGGAAGTACAAAAATGGATACTTGAAGCATATAAATGGGTATAAAATATTTATAAAAAAGTATGGAATGGAATGAAATTAAATAAAACATATGTTGCACGAACAATAAATAAATTACACTTATTACACGCTGCTTACGGGATTAATAAGTTAAAATAAATAAATTCTTAATATGATTTGGAACAATATAACCTTAAGGACTTCAAGAAATTTTTTTGACGTCAACAAGAACCTAAAACATAAACTATAAGTCGTATGTGAGTTGTTTCAGCAATAATTTAAATTCATATTAATTCATTTCAATCGAAGTAAACCCTTACACTTTACTCACGCATGCATATAATGCTAAAGGTAACTATGTTAAAAGAAATATATACTTTAAGGTAATAAAAGTCAAATAATAGTCGCGCCAAAATTCAAAAAAAAAAAATTAAAAAATAAAAGCATTTAAAATGTTAAAAACTGTTAACTGTATAGTAAAAACTTTAAAAATCAGAAATATTTTCAAAAATTTAACTATTCAGAAAGATAAAAGTACTTAAAATTTCAAATTAGTATTTTCCATTTGATTATGCAAAATTAAGTATAATTTATACAATGGCCTATAACCTGTGAAACGGAAAAGTTTTCTTGGTGAAAGAGCACTTTTTTCTTTTTTATCTGGGGTCGTTGCTTCAGGATTTTCTCCTTTAAGCGCACCGGTTGGACGATCGCCATTCTACTCTGACATTTTTCAAGGTAATAGATGAACAAGTTCTAGGGTCATTTCAAATTACGAATGCCATAACATTACTAGTTGTCTGTTGTGTTTTTTACCGCTTTGGGCGAGGTTCACCGATTACCGACGCAAAAACTAATTTTTATCTCGCTTAAACAACTCCAATTAGCTCACTAAGAGAGCTGTAACTAAAAAATTATAAACAATTGTCATAATATTTTGGCAGGCATCAATTGAAAAATTGATTGAAAAGTGAGTGTTAATGCCTATAAAAAAATAACTAAAAAAAAACAAATGGAGTGTATATACATTAAGACTGAAAAGTTTTCGGAAATTCTCATTTAAAATTCGCGCGCTGTATATTTTTCGATATTTTAAGTTTATGTAGTTTGGCAGCACTGTCCTTAATTACTATGCCAAAAATGAGAGCGATCTGTCAGGGACGTTCGTTTACGGCAGCTGTTGAAACCA